GTCAAAGATTAGACCAGGTCACCCAGGCCTCTGGATCCTCCACCCTTGGAGATATTTAAGCCTCAACCATACATTGCCCTCAGGAGAGCAGATCTAACTCAGCAAGGGCTAGACTGGATATCCTTTCCAATCTTCATTACTTTATAAAGCAAACTGCTCTTCTGGAGCTTTAGCTGGTCAAATGATCTCATTTGTTCAAGGCAGAAGTTCCCAGCTTGGTTATGTTAATTCTTAAATATAGGGGAAGATAAGAGGTAGTTCTGTTTTGTTTGGGTTTTGTTTCATTTTTTAGGAGCAAACTCATCTTACACATTTAGGTAAATGTAATCACACAGTACACCTGTAAGGGGCTTCCATCAGAGGTACCTCAGCCATTGGAAATATCATTATGGCCAATGATATCCATTACCAGAAAGTGCAGATACATCTCCTTTATCAAGTTCTAAGCTGGTTAGACTTGCTGCTAAGGGGGAGGGATTATTTGCTCAGGCTTATGCCACATTATCACAGCTACACATTTGGCCAGTTCTGGGACACTGCAGTGGCTCATATACAATGTGGAGCATAGGAAGAGAACACCACCAGATACTTCTGCTCTGCAATAACTCCAAAGACTGAATAATCAAGGACTTTTCCCCAAGAGAATATAATCCATGTGATACAAATCTACCCATGCTTCACTACATGGTTGCTTTTTAACCTCTGTTTATCAGAGCAGATATAATGTAGAAAAGTAGATTTGTACCAACATATTTGCTACTTAAAAAAGCAAATACCAGCCTTGTCTCAAGGTTAATATTCAGTAATCTATACAAGTCAGTATTTTCTGCATTGTTAATACATTCTTCTGTGACTCCCTTTCCTTTTCCTATTCGGGTTTTAACAAGTAAAAAGGATTAAAAAATACATTTAATCCATTCTTTCTGGAATGACTCACTGAAAAGGAGAGAATAAAGTCCTCTAATTATAGCTGCCAGGGTTTTTACCTCTTGCTAAGTATACTAATATTCTTTTCACTAATTGCAACTTTCCCCTTCCTCCTCTAAATTTTGAATTCCCAAAATGCTTCTTTATGGAAACATTTTTGAAACTCATTACTACAAGACTTTTCTCCATTTCAAATGCCAGGGCTCTGAAGAGTCCAGAGTTATTTCTCCAGACCCTGCCATTTTCCCACCTCCAAGCTTGTTTGAAAGAAGACTACCATGCCCAACTTAATTAAAGGAAGCATCCACTGCAAGACGAATGTCTGTCATTAGAATGAGTGAAGTAGGTGGAAAAAAGATGGATAGATTCCTCAGCTGAAAGGAGACAGCCACCAAAAAAAAAACTGCCTAATGATGGACCAGCATGTATGCATAGCAGAGTCCTCTATTTGCCTGCAAACCAAATGATAACCATACAGCATCTGAGAAACTGCTGTGGCTGCCGTGGGGGCAGGGGGAAAGAGGCATGCTGTTCAGAGAAATACATTTCAACTCACTGCACAAAAATCAACTGTGCCCTGGCTAAAACCTGGAAAGACAAACATTGTGTTACAAGCACTGCAGCCTTCCCACAGAACACACCACAAATGCAACACAAAATGCTTGTAAAGCACCAATCTATATGACCTTGGATATGGCTATGGCTTCCACAGCTGTGAAGCCCCGAAATTCAGCACCACAAGAGAATGGGTGGAAATCAGTGATTCTGTCCAATGTCAGCTGCAAGGAAATCCCCACATAGCTGCCACAGCTCTGGTCCCTCCAAGCTCACTGACTGCAGAACCTCAGAGAGGAGCTGCTGAAAGTTCAAGGGATTACTACAGCTTTCTGAACAAAAAAAAAGCATAATTTTGTACCTCAATTTACATCCATGGTAGAATACATAGAATATTAATTTACTGGTATGAATTTTACCAGTTCTGAAGTTTTCTTGAGTGGCAGTGTTTGGGTTTTTTTTTTTTTAATTATAATTTATTTTGGTTTGCTTTTGTAACCTCTTCTTTTTTTTTAGATCACAGGGAAAAGAAGTTATTTGTAGTGGTTTGGGGATGAAAGACAGAGCAACCTCTGGCTTCAGCTCAGCAATCTCTGCCTCCCCAGCTGGTGGAAAAGCAAATGGCAAGTGCACAGCACTTCCTCCCCCAGCCACCACCTGTGCCAGCCAAAGCAGAGCAAGGAGAAAAGGAAGCTTTTCAGGCAGGCAAACCATCTGCCATGTGCTGCTGCTGCTGCAGAAGACATCAAAAGGGCAGCAATAAATGTTCCACTTTTGATGAGATCTAGCCATTACTTCTGGTTTGCACTTCTCTAGCTCAAATTAAAAAAGCAGGTCCTGGAGGCAGAGGTGTGCATCCAGCAGCTCTCCAGAATCCAAGAAACTCTCTTTGAGTGTTTACCCCAGCTTCCTCTTAGGCTCTGTCCCCCATGACTGTAAAAGACACCTGGAACAGTGAAAAAAGTCAAGGTTTAAAGCTTCATACTGGTGCCATTTCAGTGTTATTTACTTCCAGTAGTACCACCCCCATCCCTTTCCACCCCCAAAAAGTCCAACCAAAAACAACCCTCTATCATCTGGGTACTTCATAATATATTCAAGCAAATTCCTACTCCCTCACAAAAATCAGAGAATTCATTAGTCTATTCCCCTCACCACCTACCATTTCTCACATTAAATGGAGAATATTTGTGATCTTAAGCAATCAAGTTTCTAAAGCACAGTGAAAATTTGTTATTAGAACAATTCATCACCGCAGGCCTTTCCGTCCTTCCTCCCACCCACCCACGCACCCACCTACAGACTTTAAGGGAAACAGTTGCAGCTTACAGGGAACAGAGGGAAACACCTCACATTCAGCACACACAGATTTGCATCCCAGGTGATCTTACCCTGCTATTAGGACAAACTAAGCCTTTCTAATTTACAGAAAAGTCAGCAGAAGATTATTTCAGAAGTTAAGAGGTCTAAAAGCCAAAGCATGCTAGAATTCTCTAGAAGGGAAAATGTTGACCTGCCCCTAGGCCAGGCTACCCCAGCTGGTAGGAGGCAGAAGTTGCCGAAGGATGTGACAATTACAAAACCAAGGCACTTAGGTATATTCAAAGGTCTGGCAACATTATGGTTAATTTAACTCTTCAAACAGTGTCCACAGTGCCCAGATGATAACTTCCCCTTCAGCTCTCTAAATTCCTCCTCCTGCAGAGGAGGGATAGGAAGCAATGCACTACACTCACCAATGCCAAATTGTGCTGGGCTGGAGATTGCATGATGTAAAAAGACTTGTCACACTAACTGAATACCCAAGTTTTACAATCCTTTATTACCTCGACTGACATAAGCTTATGGGGCTACATCTTGGAAACACTGTCTTCCAAAAAGGACGGCACCTAATATTCAAGTCTCAGAACCAGGCAGAACAAACCCTTCCACTACCTTCTTAATGACTTTTGCTCTAAAACAAAGTAAAACCTCCAGTACATTAAGCCTGTTCTGTCAATTTCTTTAGCAATGCATCTGAAGCTCTAAATAATTAGAAGGAAAATTAGAGGACTTTTCACCCTCACAAGAGCAAATTGGGCCCAGCTAATTTCCCAAATGAATCGAGAATCCAGAGCCAACCAACTACATATTAGTCACTTGGCTAGCAAGGAGGACTTTACTTACACTAATGAACTTAGGACTTCATTAAAATGTAATTTTAAGTTTAGCAATACACCAGGATAATATATTGTAGTAGGAAAGGGACAGGTTTGACACCGCAGACTCAGCTTCTTGCTACTTATCACTAATAAATTAATATAAATTAAAAATCAATGCAGCAGGGTAGTGCAAGACAAACGCTAATGTCCATGAAGAGAGAATTTGTTAGACTCATTGCCCCTGTGCTGCCAGGCACATCACTAATTCTGCAGGACTGGAGAGGATTGAGACAAGCTGCTTTGCACAGCACAGCCAGAATTTGCATCAGCTCCCCTTCTGCAATCGATTCCTATCCCCTCATGCCCAAACCATCATCTTACACAGACAGGACTACTGCCAGCTTTAAATTATTGTGAGGAAGCCTGTCACAGAGCTACCCAAGTTCTTTACTTGCACCATTAAAAATGACCACAGTGTGAATGGGAACTCTTCTATATTTCATCTTAAGCATCCTATCCTAGATTATTTGCGAGACAACTGATTACTCCAGTTATCTCAGTCAGTCTAAATCCATACTGTATCAGCCTCTGGTGGAAAGCTGAAAATGAACACAAAGGATCCGGTATGGGACAAAAGCCACACACAATCTAAGAGCAACTTTCCATTCTTCAAACTTGGCCTCAGCAATGCTTGCCCAAGTTGTTGTGCAAAAATCAGTATGAGAATAGTATATAAAGCTCTGGGACTAAAAAAAGGATTTTCACACAGATGCTTAGTCTAAAGTTAAATTTTGACAAATTTACTGCACAATTGCACTTACCACAAGGAGGAAGAAAAAATGGTGCCATGCAGCTGAGTGTCTTTCTTTATGACCTGCCCTTTAGGTATCTTTCATATACAAAAAGCAGAAATGTCACCATCATGACAACCCAGAAAATATTCTTGAAGGTGACTTGCCACATACTGTTTAAACTAGATTCATACCTTTGTGGGTTTTAACTAGACTAGGTAGGGAGCCTATCTTAAAAAAATAATAATTACATCACTTTTACTACTATTATGTTCAGAAATATCAATCCTCTTGCAGTTTTGTAGTATGTTTCTCATAAGCACATATATGCTCATTCTTCTATTAAAAAGGCAGCTGCAAATACCAAACCTTTAAAGCACCTAATAGAATTAAGCATGTATTTATTTAAATGAAAGTAAAAATTGAGTCTATTTCCCTTGTCAGTAACTCCCCACCCAAGGAATTAATCCTTATTGTTTCTCCTTTGATGCAGACAATTATCTTTGTATGACTGCATGAAGATGAGATTCCACTGCACCTTCTTTTCAACTATGTCATAGCAATTTAAACATTTAATACATATTCCTTTAAAGAAATTTAAGTGAATTTATTGTATAAAATTATGATTGGCATGGTACAGAAAAGTTCCTTTTAATGCACATTTCCCATTAACTTGTACACAAATATTACAAGTATCAAGCAAAATGCAAAAGTCTTAAGAACTAATTCCATACTACAAAAGTGTTCACATAGTGAAGTTACTCTGGTTACAAAATGTCATGGAAATAAAAGCACTTCAAAATACATATTTGGGAAATGTTTCAAATAATCAACGCAACCTTAAGTTAGTTACAAAATGCAAAGAAAGAGCTACCCTCTTCAAAACACTATTGTTCATTTGGCAAGATAGAGCAAAGTTCAGATCAGTTCACTGAAGGACTGTTCTTCACAAGAAACAAACAAACAAAAAAAAACCCCTTTAATTAAGAAAGGACTCAATTATACTATGATGACAAATAACGCCATCAAAAAGTTATCAGGCTCTCTTGTTTTCACACAGGAGCTGTCAGAGGCAGAGATGTGTAAATGAACACTTCCAGGTAGATACAGATTGCCTTTTCAAAAACCAACCAATCAAAATTAATCCAAAACCAAATGAAACCAAAACAAAAAAAAACCACACCAAAAAATCAAAACAAAACCCAACCAAAAGAGAAACCAAACCCAAGCCCCTAAACAACAGAAAGGAGACAATCTGAACTTTGTTGCTTTCACTGGACTAGCTCAGTTCTTCAGGCCACAGGACCCAAGAACAGCAATCTGCAAAGGACACGTATTTCAGGAACAAAATGGAACTCCCGCTGCGAAGGAGCGCGCGGGTGTTGGGCTGCGCGAGTGCTGCACGTCCTCTCGGTAAGGCTGTCAGAGGCTCTCACATCTCTGCTTCCCAATGGCCCTGAAGACCCACTGTTCCTAAGACAAAAATGCTTGGACCCTACAACCAACCTTAAAAAAAGGAGGCACAGTCATACAGTTAGGAAATAACACAAAATTTTGAAGACTGAAAGCATCCTTAAAAACTCACACAAAAGAACTACAAAAGAAGCCATACTTTACATTATGTTTGTATCAGATGACTTGCGTGTGTTTGAGCCATTGAACATTGGTATGTATATCTACATGAAACTCACGCATACAGAACATTGTGTTCAGGCATTATTGTTGTTTTTCTTTTAGACACACAAACAAGTTACTGCCAGGTTATCCAGTCTATTTAATGCAGTGAAAAACAGTCCACAGCAGGCGTAAAAGGAGCAGTATCCAATATAGTTTTGTCTTGCAAAAATGGAGTCAGAATTCCTGAGTCTCAGAGACATTGCTGTCCTCTCCATTACTGGATTATTTCTTTTTTCCAAGGAGAACCTCTAGTTTTCGTTTCTTCACTCTAATGAAATTTGTAATAGATTGCATCTTTTAAAAAATGTAAAACTAGTACAAAAGATGTGCCAACCAAAGTGAATTTTTAAAGCTTTTTAAAGGGAGAGGGGATTCACTTACAAAATAAAGGCCACCTTCTTGTAAAATTAGTACCGCTAATATCCCACCATTCTGTTTAGAGCAGAGATTTAACTCCCTGTTCTAGAAGCCTTACAACATGCAGTCATGTGAGCTGAAAAACTTCATCCTTAAAACAATTAAAAATATCATATATAGGACTAATGTGGAACAGCCCTTTGTTACTATCACCAAGGTGGCAAAACCAATTAAGTGTCATTCAAATAGTCATTGCAATCTAACTTCTGTATTTTCCCTTGTACTTTGCATATTACACAGTGTAACTTAAAATGTAATTTAAGAGCACTTCAGTCCCACAATGTAGGATTTAAGCTTGTATGAATACATTTGCATGGCTCTGCAACATTTGTAATGACTTAGAAAAATACATTCAACCAAAACTTTATATAGGGTTCTATTTTTTTAAATAAAAAAATGAAGAAAAAGCCAAATGGTCCCATCATTAGCTAAATAATACACTCCAAGTTCTGGAAGCAATTCCTAAGCAAAAGCACATTCAAGAATAACATACATTGAATTGTATACTTTCTCATTCACCTTTATCAGTAATAAAATTCTACTGTATATAATTATTTAGCCTTATAAATAATGCTAAGCAGAAAAATATTTACCTCTGTGCTACTTTTTTGTTTATAGAAGCATTTCTCAGTTTATAGGAGCAAAGGAAAAAAAACTACTTAAAGTGCAGATTACAGGCCATGACAGGCATAATAAATGACCAAAGGTGCAGCCAAATTTGCATTTACATCTTAAGTTACTTTGCCATCTTCCTTATGTTGCTAGAAGTCACCCCATGTGCAATTAAAGAGCTGGTCAGTTGGTTTGTGCCACAGTACAACCTGTAATCACTTGTAATTTTTTTAAAAATCCATTTCAATTGTCCATAGATATTTCTAGGCAAGGTTCAAGATATTTCTAGCTCAGGTTTACAAAACCTCACTTAGTCATTAACACCTGAAATCACACAATATTGACACCCCCTCCAGAGAATGCTACTGTCCTCTTGTTGCAGTATGTGGTTGAGCCATTGATGCTTGGCTGAGTGTCTTTAACAAGTGATGTCTTCATTTCCATTTCACACGCTACAATCGCTGCATTGAGTTCCACTTGAGCCCGGTGAACGACATAAAACGAGAGTCCTATGCTTATGACAATCTGCAAATAAAACAAGAGTGTTGTAGGCTCCACAGGCTGTGGGAATGAATACAAAGCAACTGATCTGAATGAAACAAAAACTTGTCAATGTAAAGATTCATGGAGGCATCTGTTGACTCAAAGCTTGACATGCAAGAGACCGGAAGGGAGATGAACTCAGCCCCTGAGTAGCTCTAAACCTGCATATGCCAACAACGTAACCAGCATGTCAGAACACAGACATCACACAGAGCTTAAACTATTTATATACATTGAAAAGATAAGTTTCTTTCTTTCTCTCTTCTGATAACGCAATCCTTACACCTTCTCTCTTCACTACAACACCAGTCAAGTTTTTAGCTGAGATCCTCCTTAGGGAAAAAAACAAACATAAAATCTTCAAATAAAAAGCAAGGTGTCTCATAGTGAGAATCCATTTGAAAGAAGCAAGTTCCTCTGCGTTTTTAAAAAAACATTAACTAGCTGGAATCTGCAGCTTTCTTTCAAAAAGGCAAAGAAGTTATATTACTTACAACAAAACCTAGAGTTCTGAGTCTAAAACCTGAACTTCATTACTAACTGTAGGGCTGCTTCCTTTAACATTGAGTACTATTGCTTAAAACACCTGTCAGCATGGCAGACAGTGCTGGAATATCACTAAGACAACTGCAAGTATGAGCACAGGACAACTGCAGCTGGGAGGAACCCTGGCAGTCTCTAACCAACCCAGCTGCTCAGAGCAGGGCTGGCTGTAAGATCAGAACAGAACTTTTGTCCAGTCAGGTCTTGAAAACTTTTGTAAAAGAATAGAGATTTCACCACTTCTTTGGGCACTCTGCTCCAGTGCTTGACTACCCTTGGGGTTTAAATGACGTTCCTCATCAATTTATGCTACACATTTCAAAAGCTGGCTAATGTAAGATTCATAATGATATTATACACACTGATTTTTTGAATAGATAGGAAAATTTCTATTCTAGAAGCTTACCCAAATATTTAAATTTGCTTTGGTTTAGAAATATTGCTACCAGTAACCTAGTTCCCTAGATAAATAATTTGAAAAATATATACATAGACAACTATGAAATGTGAAGGATTTTCAGAGCTATTTACTAAATCGAAGTCCCATCAAAGCTCACCCAGTCAAAGCACTTAGCAGAAGCCTGAGAGACAGACGGAGAATGTAAATAATTTCTCCACTAAAGGCCTCCCCTTCAGTTATTCAGTCATGTCCCAAGGACTGGTCTCAAGGACGTCAGTACTCCTTTTAAAACATTCAGGCTACCCAGCTACCACTTACCTGAGAACCATTTATGTTACAACCTATATAATCTGCAAAGGAGAGTCAATGTCAATTAAAAAAAATAAATATATAAATGGGGAAAAAAAAGGAAAAGACCACTAAAAACTTCTACCCTGAAATAACATTTCATGACTAAAAATAGTAGCTGATCAAGAAATCATTTATTTTCTCTTTGATTTATCAAACTATCTATGCCACACTTACAAAGGCATTTTAACCATGTTTCATGAAAACTATAAATTATATAGCTTCTATTTCTATTCAGTAGAAATAGTTCTATTTAAGAGTGCACAAATTTCAGGGCAAGGGAGGAAGGTATGTTTAAAATGGTCCTAGACTTAGTTTTCTATGTTGGCATTGTTAAACATCAGCTTTATGACTGTAAAAACTGAGAAACCGAAATTACTGCAGTACCTACTGAAAGCCTGCAAACCATGGTAATTATTAGTCAAACACAGCCTGAAGTACTGTCACTGTCAGAGGAGGTTTTAATAGATAGTATAATTCGGAAATACCCATAACCTCTATGCTCATAATGGTCTCACACTTAAGGCTTATACCCAAAATTTACTGATAAATTATTTCAAGAGCTAAGGTCATGTAAAGGTACTTAACATACTTCTCATTAATTTACTCACTTGTAAAATTAGGATATTCTAATTTAGGCATTAGGAAAATAGTACTCTACAGCATTTTTAGTATCTTTAATATTTATGCAAAATGGGTATGCTGAGTGCTAACAGTGAACAGTGCACAAGTCCTGGGTCCACACACACATATGCTTTTGTGTAGGGGTGGTTGACAAGTCTAAAATTCAGCAGGTTACCCTAGAAGGCAAGTGTTTTTCTGGATTTTCAGTCCAGAACAGGGCCAATGAGTTCCAAAAAAAAGAAAATCCATAATCTGGGGAAGTTCTCTGCCTTAGCTAGCTAAAAAAAAACTAACTAAAAGGAAAGGAGTGCTCTTTCCTGCTGTCTGTGCGGCAAACAACACAATCCATGAGAGGGAACAGAGGGGAGCAAGTGCAGCCTCTGAAAACAAACTGCGTGCTTCTTTTCCCCCCGCCCCCTTTGCTCTCAGAATCAGCCTTAAATGTGCAGAACTTAATATCCAGCATAAATAGAACAGCATACTGGGGATACAAGCATCATAAAGTCACCCTAGGACAGCAAGAGAAGAAAACTTTCTGAAAACTGTATCAGAAAAAGAGAACACTGAGTAAGTTCTGCTTTGTGTTATGGTGAGGTGTGAGAGAATTACACTTTTCCCAGAGCATAAAACTAAACCTAAACAAATCAGTACACTGGGAACCCATTTTTCTGGGTATCTAGCAATCAACAGAAATCACAGAGAGACAGACAGCACTGTTACCAAGGTCTATGAAAGCAGTTATTTTAACTGACCTGTAAACCGAATACAAAATAGCCACTAACACTTTGTTCTGCAATCACGTCCTCCATGGTGCGCAAGGTAGTGCCCAAGTATGAGTTCAGGAGCTGAGTAGGAAGCAGCCCAAGTGAAGAAGCCATCAGGTAGTTGGGTAGTGATAGATCTGTAATCTGAATTAAAAAAAAAAAAGAGTAAGAAATCAAAAGCAGCTTCAACACAATCTATGTGTACAAACAACCAGACTACCACTTTCCACAACCATCCCTGCAAAAACATTAGAGAATATCCTACATTCCTTCACTGAAACTTTGATTCATGCAGAGGGGAAGATAACAGAATGATATAGTATGCATCTAGTTTTCATCTGGCCTTTTAAAAGTTACTAGGTTTGATTTCACCTTACATTATGCAACATCTCTGTGCAACAGTCACTAACTAGGGGTGCAATTACCCTGTTCACTGAAGGTATTTATTTCTACCTGGTGAACAGAGTCCTTGGACTTATGAGAATTTAATTGTGAGAAGAAATTATTTTATTGAATGTGAAAGTCTAACAAAAAAGTCTATCAGTTTTGCATTTATGCATATGGCAAATAATACAAGACGTAATTGCTCAAAATGTCACTTTTAAATAGGATCCAGGTGAACAGAATGGCAGATACAATTTGTCTATGCAGGGCAAGTTATGAGCTTTTTAAGACACACATCTCTTTCAGTGATCCCTGAATGATGAGCAATACCCATCTACATCTATACTGATATACAGGAGTATCATTAAGATTGTCTACCAAAGGTGTCTTGCATCTCACTTCAATTAGTGAACAAATAGTATGCATAGCTACAGGTTTTATTAAGTTATCTGGAGAAAATACTAAGAATACTTTGGTATCTTCTTCTCTTTGCCGTGAGGTTCCTGTTCTGTGTCAATAGGTGGACGAAGAAGCTCACACAGGAACAAAGCACACAGTACCAGCTAAATGAGCATCAGCAGCCATCGGGAAATATTAAAGGCAAGTGTCATGAGATCAAAAGATATTTACACAAGAAAAGAAGAAACTGGATTAAAAATGAGTATGAAAACAATGATTTTGAAAACAAGCAGTCCAAAAAAATTTCCAGATTAATTCGGTTGATAATAACAGAGATCTAATTAAGAACAGCTCTAACACTGAGAGCCTACATGGAAATTATTGACCTTGCCAGTTTTGTACAATGTTGAAGACCAAAGAATAGCAGCAACGTTACTCATTTCATCATGCTATTCTTAAAATAAACTTCAGTTACTGTGAAAGTCACAGTGCTGAATTCTCAGAGCTCTAACTACCATCAGTGGAAAGTTTTTGGGAGGAAGGGCAATGGAGGAGCAGAATGCAATGAAGCATAAAGATTAAAAATAATTCACTGGAACAAGATCCAATAAGCCATTTCCAAACTTCACACTGCATATTATACTTCCCACAGACTGAAATATATACCAGCACCACAAATATTATATTTCCTTCTCTAGATAAGGTTAATTTAGATTTATAATGAAAAAGGATTACATAATTATGTCAGAACTTCACATGTGATCAATACTTTCAAAAGACTTTTTTAAGCATTGTTGTAATCTGGGCCATGTAATAAGAATGCATAGTCCAAAGCTCCCATATTGCCAAGGGAATGAAGGAGCTGCTATTAAAAGTTTCTGAAATACTAACTCAGAGGCAAGCTTTGCTAAGTAGGACACTATCATTACATCTAATGGAGCTGGGAACGTTCCCAAAGATTGCTTTAACACTCTTGGCACCTCTCTCATTTCTGTAGAAGTATTAAGGACACTTCAGTTGCAGAGCAAAATGGCCCCACACCTGGATGAGTCCCGAAACAACTGGACCTCCTGAGTCATGAGAGAGATTGTTTCCAAATGAAGGGGAGACTGCCCCAGTGGATACACTTAATTGCAGCTTGTGCTTTCCACTGCAATGAGAGCTAAGGAGAGGGTGGAAAAATTTTTGAGATGTCCTTTTAACTGAACTGTACGTTTAGAGCTACAGTTGTACCCCTTTCCCCAGAATGCACAGAATGGGCAGCATCCCTGCCTAAGAAACTTGAGAAATCATCAATAAAACTTACAGCTTTCCATACTTTTTTTCTCTGAACTTTACTTGTTCTATGAACCTGCCAAATTGGTATCTGCATGGCCAGGCTGGCCAACAGAGCCCACCAGGGCTCTGTTTCTGGTGAAAGCTCAAGCCAGCAAAAATTAACCCTAAAATCCCAAACTATGGACAGATGCAATTGTGTTAGAGGCCATAACAGAAACACATTTAAATTGTACTCAAATACAATTAAGAACTACCTAATTACACTGATAACAATAGTCAGAACCCCCCCACACACCCTCATGAAGCCTTAGATGGGCTTTGTCCCGTGGAACACTTGTGCATTCTTTGCAGCTGACACCTTTGGTCAAGGAATAAATGCTTCTGTCAAGATTTTGCTGGAGGCTGCCATGCCTTTAAGGATTGCAGCACAATGTTTCTTCCCTCACTTTACAAATTCCTGTGTTTCAGATCAGGTAGGCTTAGTGACCAAGGGCAAAGGATAACTGGTGCTTTTTTTCCTCAAAAAAAATGTCCAAAACAAAACCCCCCAGAAACACCTCTTCCTGCTCCAAAACAAAAAAAAAAAAAGCCAACACCACCCCCTAAAAAAAATCCCAGTAATACAAAAGAAAAAACCAGCTGCCAACTTTCCAACAAGCAGAGGAAGTAGTTTGCATGTTCTTGCAAAGCAGGTACCATTTCTTCAATTCTGACTTCATTGTGTGCATTTCTGAACCCAGAGGTGCACACTTGAACATTCAGATTTTTTAAACCAGATTATTTCTTTCATGTAATATTCCCCTTAAAGAGGAGAGGGGAAGTATGAAATCCCATCTAACCTACATCTGGCACTGCAAATAACCAGGCTGCACAAAGCTCACTCCAAGAACAAACTCGTGGGAAGGAGATGATAACCTGCATACCAGGCCTCTTACAGACCTGCCTTCAAAACACTCCAGAGCTGGCAAGGTGAGAGAGCTGTGCATGGGCAAACACATCAGTAAGAGCTTTCAAACCCACCCCAGCAGCCCAGGCCACTCTGGCATCGGGAGTGACAATTAAGCAAAACTTAAAAGAGAAATACAAACATACTTTCAGTTAGCAAGTGCTATATTCCAGAAAGGCAAGCAAATGCGTTGCCTCACTCCTCCACCAGCAGAACAATCTTTTAAGAAGCAAGATGCTCATGTCGGGCTGGTGAGACACTAAGGAATTTGTGTTAACTTTCTTCTTATGCTGTTTCAATTTATATGATTCCCTCACTAATCAAATCCTAAGAAGCTCTTCCATCTTTCTCTACACCCCCTACAAACCAACCTCCCAAAAGCCCTCAGCAGATGGTACATGCCACCAAACAAGTGCCTGTAGAAATCATTTAATCCCAGCCCTGCAGATGACCCTGCTCACATCAAGGTTATGCCTTTCCCCAAACCTCATGTGTCACTTCCTTCCTTCTCTCTCATTTAAGTATTCTTGGTATCTCCAGTTTACTTTAAAATATCCACATAGAAAACATGCATAGATCAGACCACTGGAAAGTTAAAGATGTGCACTTTTTCTTAAGTTCACTGTTGTTTAAAAATTAATCCTTTTAAAATTAACTGCTGAAGTTGGTAGCATGGGGAAATGCATTTCAAACTTAAAACGAGTGTAAAGTTTTCAAATAAGTGAGATTTCAAGGGAATGACAGCTTGGTCTGTGTAGGCAGAAAACTGTACTTTTTACATAACTTAAATTTGACTCAAAATAAGAAAATTTCTTGAATTCCTAGATGTGTATGCATCATTTTTTTGTGATCTAGTAGCTCATATTAAATGTTCTGAGTGAAAAACTGAGTATACACTGTGCATTATTTGACTATCCTATAAAGCAGTAAATCAGGAGTAATAAACATAACCAAACAGAAATTAGCCAAAAAATCCAAGTTACTTAGCATAACTCAAGCATCTGGTTTCAACTCATTTCCTATCTATTATTTTAACACTGAAACCATCCACTTGGAAAGAAAATTATTTAGCCTGCAGAATATGGAGAATACAAACCACAATGATTTACAGCATCATTTTAATATTGAACTGGCCTGAATACTCTGCTGAATCGTGTTTCCAACAGAAGGGTTATGCCAGGAAGAAAATAATTTTAACTTGGTAATTCTCTGGTGTGTTGTTTAGATCCAATACTACTTTATATCATCTGCTGACTACTGCAAGTGACTTCCCAAAGCTGTGAACAAGCAGCGCACAACAGCTCTCCCCACTTTAGGAGGGTCACAGCACAGCAGAAGCTTCATCTGCACCTGGACCTTGGGCTCCAGGAGGGACTCTGCTCTCCCTGCTGGACAGGTCTAAGCCCCTTCAGTAATATAGGTTAACAAATAAAATAGCAAAGGTTCAGCTGTTCAGTTTCTCATTCTTAACAAGAAAATGGTTAAAGGATTTCTTAAAAAGAAATCACAAGTTGCTACAGTTCTTATGGATAGAGATTACAGCTCTGGAGATGAATGCTCTAGTTCACACAGTTTTATATACAGCAATTTAAAATATTTGGTGTGGATGTTACAGCCCAAAACTGAATGGATTAAATTTTACTTAATAAACAAACTTGGTATTCGGTGACCTACTAATTGCAGCCAGATGATTCTGTCAAAATTAAGCAAATGCTTTGGAAGGGTACAGGATCAGGACTGCAGACAGGGTGGGCTATAAGAAAGTGTCAGATGAAAACATGTGTTTAGATAGTCACTTGTTTTAAAGAATATACAAATTACTGATAACATTTGAAGTATTTCACAATCCGGTTTGCTTTGTTTTGACTTCACCCAGTTAGCAGATACAACTGAGGCATAACACAGCCAAAACCAGATCCTTCAGACAAAGTACTCAGGAAGAAAGGAGGGTCTGAAATTGTCATCAGAAGCACAATACTCAAACAAACCACCATCCATGTTCTTTACGTTTTTCCTTTAAGATGATCAGAGACCAAATGAATGTACCAATCTGCACCTGAAAATAGAAAGAAAAGCAAGACTAACCCTTTTCCAGACTCAAGTTTAAACTAACTTTCAGTGCCACTCCAGAATACAGTCCCTTTTCAGGTCTGAGGTTACATGCTGCTCTGCCCAAAACCTGCAACCTATCTTGTGTGCAAGGACTTAACATCCTGTATGGATTTGCCAGATGCATGGTACAAACACCGAGAAAGAATTTTAATCTGTCTACTTCTTTTTTTCCAATATGATTACTTATATTAAGTAGTTTAGGAAGACCTGGCAAGAGTTTTCTTCAACTCTTGCCATGTTTTAAAGTGGATCACTTTAAAAGCAGAAACATATCATGTCTGTTGAGTTCTCCACAGATTTTGCTATGCGGCACCTTGGTGATTCTAACACCAGGACACAGTTTTGAAGGACAAGAGAGCAACTCTAACACAACCCCAGTGAGCAAGGCATCTCAAAAATCGGCCTGTGTCCCTCTGCATGCACAGAAGAGCAGGCAGAGAGGGTTGTTTTTACTGTTGTTAAAAGAGAGAGAAACCACGGCTTGTTCCCAGGGAAGGAGGCAACCTCTACCAGTAGGAGCAGCCACTGTGCCGAAAGACATCCTTCCAGCACCTGTCTTCCTTCCGCACAGCCCAGGCAGGGACTCACCGCGAAGACGGCGTTCTGCACCCCGAAGGGGATCAGCGTCAGCCGCGACAGAAACACCACCTTGAGGCCGCTGCCGCCCTCCACGACACGGACGATGGCACTGAGCGTCCCGC